CAAGCTGTACGACACGGCGACCGTTGAGGCCATCGAGGAGACGAGCGAGGCCGCCACAAGTGAGGCGCCTGTCCCCAAGGCACTCATGATTGGCAGGAAGAAGGCCATGACGAAGGAGCAACAGCAGGACTTCCTGCGGGCACATGCCGCCAAATTTAAGGGCATCCGCAGCGATAAGAACCTCTGGTTTATCTGGGTATGTAATGATGCTGAACCAACACAACAAAGCAGGAACGCTAACAGGTATCAGATTCCGCTTCTGACAGTGCTGCTGGCTTCCATGCTGTACATCCGCTTCCCCGAACATTTCGCCACGGCGTGGTCCATGATTCGTTCGGTGCCCGCGCAGCAGGTCCCTGAGGCCGCCCGCACCCTCCGGGACCGCGTCGTTGAGGTGCTCTGATAGATCGAGTTTGACGGCATGAAATCTTTTTTAACGACCATTTGCTACATATACCTCTCCGACCGTCCGCTGGCCCAACAGTCCAGCTGGGCATCGTTCTGAACGACATTCTCTTTTGACTACACTGGTGTAACAACAACCAGCACCAAACACTTGCTAGGCGTCTTCGCAGGCTCAACGTTTTATTCTGACAGTCCATCGCTTCTCTCTTCATTCTTCCGTCTTGTCGGGTCACCCTTTTATCCCCTCGTTCCATGAACCTTTCCTGGCTCCCCGGTTGGGGTGTCGCGCAGGGACCCGGGTCAAGCCTGGCAGCAACGGACGGTTGAGGGAAGGCGACGTCATGGGGATGAAGGTCCTTTCCCCTCTCCCTCTCCCTCTCTTTATTTTTAAACAATCATCCTTTCTACACGTGCGCGGAAACAGGCTTGGGATTGGGGTTACAAGTAGCGCCGGGGGCGACTTCTTATCGAGGTGTACTTGACGATCAGGGTGCTCTTCCATGTCGGAGTACATATTATATAGTCTCTCTTGCCGTTTTGTGTTCTTTTTCTAAACTCCTTTTCTTCTCTCCTCGTCGCTCTGCGTGTCAAGAGGAGGGAGACACCAAGCGACTTTTGACATTGCGGGACCAGATTTCAATGAAACATGATTTTGGTGATGGAAGACGTGCCCCGTATTTGACTTGTGTCTCGGTTTGCTGTGATGTCCACCGTCGAGTCCCCCACGGGACTACCACGGTCCAGGGCCTCAACACCCGCAGAGCTGGAGAGTCGGACACCCGCACGGGGATCGGGCCAAAGTCCTCGACACGAAGCCGGAAAGACACAGTCGGTCAGGAAGCGGCGAGTCCCTGGCGCGGTCAATAAGTTCCGTGCATCGACCCGGTCGAGAGCAAAGCGTCTGGGGTGGCTTGCCGTCGTCAGGGTATGAAGACATGGCCTGTCTGCCGTTGACCCAGACGCCACGGGCTAAACCGAAGCGTCTTCGCATGGGGCGCATTCCCATTCCCAACGCCGTATCATTGGGGACAGGGCGGACGTTCAAGTCAGGTCACATCTGGACACTGCGTGCGAAAGCGAGCAAACCCATCTGAGTCGTGGCCTTGACCTCAAGAAATTCAAGGCACAGTGGTAGAAGCACGGAACTCACCACAGCACAAACACGAGGCAGCCATAGAACGTTTTCATCATTCATACAGAGAGCTCCGACAACCGAGGCCAGGAAAGATGCCTCGGCCAGAGATACCCGTTCCTTTCTTTACTCAGGCGAAAAGGAGAAGAAAGAGAAAGAGAAAAAAAGAATACACCAAACAGGTACCGGGAGCCATTCCATTCATGCTCAAGAATCGATGCGTGAGAAACAAGGCTGGCCCGTCCAGCCTCCCACACCGCAGCCCTGTCCGGTCCGAAAAACTCCGTTCCTTTTTCCAAATGCCGTGCCGCCCTAAAACCCAACCGAGAGGGGAAAGAAATGGAAGGTTTATCATACAATTCGTGTGTTCGTATCCGTTGTTCCATGGTTGTTTTCTTCGTGACCAAGTGCGTGAACGTGTCATGTGTCGTCATGTGTCGGAAAGGTCATGTGTGCATCGCGCCCGCAAACACACCACGGGCTGCACCGCTCGGGACAGGCTAGTTCTACCAGCGTCGACGTCCCTGGATGGGTTGCGGGATCCTGTTTTCAGCACCCTCACCAAAAGCGCTCCCAGGCCGCGACTTAAACTGATCGGGGATGCGCGGGACGACGGGGATCCCCCGGTTCGCGTCCGGGCGGATACGCAGTCCAGCAGCGGCAGCAGTATCCTCCGAGCGTGATGATGGCCGGGACCAGCGCATAGCTTCTGCGAAGGAGCCGCCTCCATGCCCATCACTCGACGAGGCAAAGGATGGGGCACCGGAGTCGATGCTCATGCGTGAAGAAACATCCGCGGGTACCGGGTTCGAGATGGCCGACTTGGAGATCTGACGCTTCGCAAGGCGGTTCGTCTCGCGCCTCGAAGAGGAGCTGAAAGTACGGCGCGTGTTGATGCCAAAGGGCGCCGGGGGTGGGGGCATGTCCGTCGAAGAGGAGACGGGGCCTTGGTGAGAGCGCTTTGGGCGCAGACGGTGGAGGGGTAATTCGTTGCCAATGCGCGAAGCAGACTTGCGCAGCTTCTTGAAGGAAGAGGTGTCGTCGTTGTCGTCGTCCTGGGAGTGATTGCGCTTCGTGCCGCGCGAGGGCGACGCGTTGGCCGAGAGAGGCCATTGCTCCTGCTCCTGCTCCTGTTGTTGCTGCTGCTCCTGATGCGCGGCCATGCGTGACGCGAACGAGGCCCCAAGAGGGGGCTGGACGGAAGCAGAGGTCGAGGGAGCAGACACTCTTGGTACAGCGCCAGGCGGTGGCTGGCGTGTCGACTGGATGGCGTGCGAAGCGAAGAAGCCGTTCTGCATGAGTTGCTCATAGTTCCTAGTGATTTCCTCGCGGCTGGGCATCTTGCCATCGCTACCCATGTCGAGACCTGGGAAAGCAGCCATGCCTGCGGGTGTGGTTGTCTTGGAGTCGAGGCTTACGGGTCGCTTAGTCCCGTTGGCGTTCCTGTCTCTCGAGAAGCTGAGCTTTTCTTTCAATCCGCCCCAGAAGCCCTTCTTGCCGCTGGTGCCGATGAAACTACCCGCCGCGCTGGCGGGACGTTGGTCATGTTGGTTGTGGGACTGCTGTTGCTGCTGCTGCTGCTGGACAGAGCCAGCAAGGGCCGAAGCGGCGCCGTGTCGGCCAGGATAGTCGAGGCGGATACGACGCTCAAAATCAGCTTCGGTGCCAATGAAGCTCAGAGGCGGGACAGCCGAGGCACGGTCATTCATAGAACCCTCCTGGAAGCGCGAGCCAGCCTTAGTGGGCGATCGCGGCGCCGAGCCCGAGCCGGAGCTTGAGCTGGAGTCAAGCGACTTGTCCGCTCTGTTGAGGGGCTTCTTCGGGGAGAAGACAGGGTGGGAGTTGAGGGGGCCCGGTCGAGACCGGTCGGGTGGCGCCATGGTCGTGTGATGCTGGCGATCGTGCTGGCGGCGATGACGAAACTGGAAGGAACTGGTGGTCAGCTTGAACGGCGTCGGCGGCATGGCAGGCATGGTGTAGCATTGAACAGAGAAAGCAATAGAAGAACAGGTAGCCCGCATGAGAAAGGATCGTGCCCGCAAAACAACAATGAAGCAATTAATGGACTGAGAGGACATACCTATAAGCGGCTGTTTTGTTTACGCGCGAGCTGGCGGTCGCATTGACGATGGATCGCGCCCAAGCTTCTTCCCCCACTTCAAAGCGAATCCAAGAATGCTGATGGGACCTTGCGTGAGAAACGCAAGAGCAACAAGTAAATGCTGGCGGGCAAGGGAATGGATGAGGCGAGAGAAAAGAAGACGAAGACCAGAAGAGTGGTTTCGTCGTATCGTGCGTGTTGTGTCTTGTCTGGGGAGGGGGAGCGGGTCAAAGAGCAACAACACACGGCGGTTTCTCCTTCTCTCCTTGTCCTTCGTGGGTTTGCTGGAGTTTGTTGCTTCTCCTGCCCGTTAGCGGCCAGACCGTTGCGGTAGCGGCAGGAACGACGCGGTACAAGGGGGGGTGGAGGGGGCACTTGACAGCCAAGTCGTTGCTCCGGTCGACGCGCTTGGACAAAACAGTCAGGATCGGCCCAGGAACGCGTCCCGCACACTACGCTCCATCAGGTCGCCAACCCACGTGACCAGTACTCACTCTCCTTCTCCTCCCTTGCAGCACGTGTCTCTGCACCGCGCAGTCCACATGCACCTTTCAGGGGCTCACCTGGGGGAAACAGCTCTATCGCCCTCATCTCACCTGCATGGCCCCAGATGCACTACTCAACCCAGCACATCTTGCTCCCGAGACAACCCCCCCCTTCCCCCACCTAGGCAGGCCAACAGAACACTATTGTTTCTTCACAATGACGCCACACACACACACACACACACACAGTTCGTAGCATGTCATACATCACCATGCCCGTGGGAATCGCATGTTTCAAGTTCATTCATATTCCGATTTCATTGCGCAACCCGAACAACCAGTACACACGCGCAAAGACAGACCCTACCATGCCCATAGCAAGTACAACTAGAAAACGTCAAAGACCGAGGCAATGTATAGCCCGCCCCGCGTCCTCGACTCCGCTGTAACCCCAATCTGAGTCTTCGCAAGCACACTTCTCGTCATGCTTGATCTGAAAATGCCCGCGACGGCCATGGCTGCCCTCTTCCCCGCCGCCTTCGGCCCCGACATAGGAAAATCAACCATGGTATACGAATGGCCTCAAGTGAGGCTTTTGCAAAGGGAAACGCAAGGAAATTTGGAAGTGGATAGAAAGGAAGGGTAGAGTGGGTGGCGTGGGTATGTGAAGAAAAATAAAACTAGACCAACATCAGAAAACTCCGCATGCGTTGCTGGCTATCCCTCTCGGGGATCGAGTATATACATCGTGGCCGACTCGTGAGAAAATACGTGCAAGGAGCGTTTCATCGTCGCCATGAGCCATGGCCCATGGAGACCTCCGCTCCGGCGACCCGGCAGACGCGACTCGTCGCGTGCTGCATCACAGGGGGCTGCATTATAGGGTGAAAACAGGCGTGTGCTTGAACGACACGCCGCCGTCGGCACGCCTGTAGTACATCCTGTCCGGATTGCCGTGCGGGTCGTGATCCGCGCTGGCCGGTTGCTGGTGGTTGTCAGGCGGGCGCTGTCCGTCGCGCAGCGCGCTCTGCTGGTTGTCGACAAACGTATCGGCGTATCCGCGCTTGGAACCGGCGTGAGCCAATGGTGCAACTACCTGTGGCACAGGCAAGGCCGGCTCGATGACGTTGGGCATCAGAGCTGACTTCACCAGGCTGCCCAGGCCGGAGGGACCAGGGAGACGGGCAGAGAGGATGGGCGGCAGTGTGAAAGTCTCGGAGATTGGTGTTCTGGGCGTATCCCGCTTCGTGGCCATGTGAGCCAGCGAGTCTCTCCTCGACTCCGCGGCCCTGGGCAGTTCCTGTTTGTAGACAGAGTCCCTCCTGTAATCCATCTCGTGCGATGCAAACTGGGCGTGAGATGGTGAAGGGGGCACAAAGGACGAGGGGCGGCGATCGTACGCGTCGCGGGGCGTGGTGGGTGTGGTGCCGGATGAGCTGTACGCGTGCGGTGCCGGGCGCGACTGGTAGCCGAACCCAGCGGGCGGAGCGGTGGCGTACGGCGAAGGCTGTCCGCTGTGGTAACCAGATGTCGGCGAAACGGGAGGCGGTTGCGAAGCAGTTTGAATGTGGTGCGGTGCGTAGCCGTTGCTGGATGCGTCAGAGCCGTAGCGGGAGTGGGCACTGGGGACGGCAATGGGGGCCGGCGGCGGTGGAGGCGCTGGGTAGGCATCCATCTCGGAAGGGCGGCGTTCGGACACAGCCGAATACGGGGCACGCTGTTCACTGCTGTCGCTCACGGATCGACCACGCATCTGCTCCTTGCGAATGTCGGGCGTCTGTGTCCTCCTGCTCCGGGCGGCCTCCTCCTCCTTCTCGTAGTCACCGCCGGATGGCTTTCCGTCGCGGCGCCTCATGCGCACATCGCGGCGGATGCGAACCCTGCATCCCTGCTCGGAAATGGTACGGCTCAGCGTGGTGCTGGACGTGAGGCCAGGGAACTTCTTCGCGCTGAAGACGACAAAGGGCGCAGACTGGACCTTCATGCGCAGGTAGAATCCGGGGGTAGGGCCGTCGTCCACGGGGTCGGCGTCCTGATCCATCTCGTCCTTGAGCTCTTCGTAGAGACTGAATCCGAGGACGTAGCGGCCTTCGTGGCGGACCGACAAGTCAGGGAACAAGAAATAGCCGGCCTCGGCAGGGCGGTCGAGGTACGCCATGCCAGAGACGGGGGCACCAGTCAGAACAGGAGGCGTCGTGGCAGCAGGCGTCTGGACGCGACCGTTGGCGATGGGGCGAGCATGCTGCAAATCCACGTAGACGAAGAAGTTGGCGTTGTAGCCGAGAGTGATGTCCTTGCTGTCCTCGAGGGTAGGACCCTCGAGCACGCGAAGCTGAACAACGGGTGGCGGGTCGACAGGTCGACGGTCGGCGGCGGCTGGGATTCCTCGTGTCAGCGGTCAAGTCATTCGAATAACGCACCGCATGTCAACTTACACTTCTGTCCGGAGCCGCAGGCTCTCGCGCGCTCGGGCTGTTGGAGGCAGGTCAATTCATAATGAAGTCGTCGACCGCCCTTGGTGTTGCGGGTGTGAACTGAACGAGTGGCATCGGAGGGGCTGTCGTCGGCGGCAACCATGGTGGTGGCGGACATGGTGTCTGGCGTCAGAATGTGGTGAGAGGTTTCGGGTCGTTCGTTGGGTGGCGGGAGTTGGTCGTTGGCAAACCTACGAGGGGACCGTGTCAGACGAAGCGAGAAACGAAACGAGAGCGATGCCGACGACCTGGGTCGAGGCAACGGTCTGGATTGGAGAGTTGGGAGAGAGCCCGTGGGGACGGTTCTCACGCCACGTCAGGCAGGAGGCGCCGCTCTCCCAAGTAAGGGGAATTCTGGCTCGAAGCCACCATCCAAAACTGACCTGCACAGGTTCTACTCAGAGGCCCAACGTTCCCGCGAATTAATCTAGTTGATTGCGAAACCCTTTTGGCGGATGGAGGGCAACCGGTGTGTGGATAAGAATACGGCGAGATCGAATGGCTTTCCGGGCAGGTCGAGTTTGTCGAGGTCGGTCGTCGCTGTCGTCGTCCGTTCTTCGATCCCGCGATGCGATTAACAGCCCAAGCAGCGCGGTTGGGTCGATGGAGGGAGAGGACGAACGCACGAACGGAGGGGAGTGGTTTGTTGGTGTTGAGGTTGGATCTGTGTGGAACGGGAACCAAGACGATGAGGAGCAGGAAAGGCGGGAAGGAAAAGGACTGCTAGGACTGGGCAGTCGACACCCCAGGACCGGGACCCAGATAATACAGTACAGCACGGTGCGGTACCCAGGACAAGGGCCAGGGCCAGGCAGAGACAAGTGGGGATGCTAAACCTGGAAGGGGGGGGAGGGGAAGCCGGGATGCTGGGGGTGTGGACCGCGGCGTGAGGGCGTGAGAGGCGAGAGTGAGAGGAAGTGGGTGAGAAAGAGAGAAAGAGCACCACAAGAGACCAAAAAGAAAATGGAGCCTTGTTCGTGGGTGCTGAGTGCTGAGTGCTGGGTGGTGGGCGCTGGATGCTGGGTGCTGGGTGCTGCGTCCCTAGGTACCTAGGGAACTTCAGTACCCAGATGGCCAGGGGGGCGGCGCTGAAGACCCAGAAGGGTGTGCCTCTGCTGTCACAGATTGGCTCGTGCCGGACTGGGCACACCACACCAATCCCAATCCAACAGGTCAATCTGGTCCAGCCCGGGACACGGGGAAAGGCGACAGGTGGACCAGCGAACCAGCGAACCAGCGAACCTGACTTTGAGGGCTGGGAGACTGCGGCAGTCCCAGGCCCTCGGGCTGGGAATCTGGAGCTGCCTCGCCCTTGTTATTGGGCGATGCCGAGATGCTTGCGGTGAGGGCCCTTTGTTCTACCTCTACGCCACCTCGAGACCGCTGAATTGTTGTTGGAAGGAGGGGGGGGGGGGGGGCGAACAGCTGTTCCTCTCCTGTCTCTTGGGACCGTTCGTCACTTTGGCTGCAGCGCCTCGAAAGGCAGCGAGCCCTCGATGATACGATGAGTTGTGCGGCCCGTGGTGGCCTTGCGGGTAGGCAGAGTTACAGGGGGCGATACGCCGGACATGCTCTGTCGCCTTCCACTTCTTAGGCACCTAGGTCCCTGAGCCAGGTGTGGATCAGCCAGGCGGGTGACAGGGTCAGGGCTCTCTTCGTCTGTCGGGAAGAGGAAGCGCCCCGGTGAGAGGGTCGAAGGAAAAGCAAGAAGCAAGGATGCTCGGTCATACTGCCAGGCGGAGATCTTGGCCCGTGGAGAGTGAGACCCGGGAATACTCGACGTCTCGACAGAACCACAGCCCGCTTCACGTACCCGGTGCCCGTCTCGCGGGGGTGTGGTCATGCTCACACTGTAAGAAGCGGGACACGGCTGCTAGATCGGCACTAGCGCGCACATGAGCCAGATGGGCGCGACGCTAGCTGGCACCACGGCCTTGGCAACACTCCCACGAAGCCGGGGCCAGGCCGTCGGCCAGCGGAGGGACGACAAGGACAACTACCAGGATACCGTCCCATTCGCTTCGCGCCTCCCCACCACCGTAGCGGTTCGTGGGTCCTGCCCGCCAGGGTCGTCGACTTCTTCAACCAATGCCGTGCCTTCCACAGCGCCACCCACGCAAGGGCCTGAATGCTAGCTCAGCCCGCCCCTGCTCGCCCGGTGGGCGACACTGTCCGCCGCCCGCCGCCGCCAAATGCTCGTTGGACTGCGTGCGTGGCTGCGGTGCGCGCTCCCCGATGTCTGACCTGTGTCTGACTTTATGCCCTACAGCCGCTGCTTGTTGGCTTCTCCAACATGTCTGTCTCGCCTTGACGTCCCACACCGGTGAAGACGCGAAAACGAAAGAAAAAGGAAAAAAAAGAATGGCGGGCTCAAGGGCAGCGAAACAGGGAGAGACGACCGATCGACCTGTGGAAATAGGAATGCGGATTGTTGCAGTGCGAAACGTCCTGTTCTGAACGCCCAGACGTCATGAATCCCATTGCCGTTCTGTCGTTTCCTCATGCTTCCCCATCATACCGAGTCTTGCCCCTCCCTCCCCGTTCCCCTGTTCGCGCCGCGGCAGAGTTATGCGACAATGCATCTGCGTCCCGCGATATGTCCACCATCGTCAACTGCACAAGTCATGTATGTCTGACCTGCTCTGCTTGTGCTTGGGTTTTGTCGAATGGTTGGTGCGTGCGCTGCGCGCGCCCGCACTCTCAACCTGACCCATCGCAGAACAGTGCAGCTCGCCGTGCCGACCTAGCACAGCAAACTCCAACGACAGCATCGGTGCACTACAGCGCTGAAAGTCTTGGGAGCGAAAACCACCATCCAGCCAGCGTTGGTCTGTGTGGCGAGTTCCACGGATCTCGCCTCAGCCTTTTTTCACCGGTCATATCCCTCAATTTCAAGTGTTTCGACTTGACCGAGTCGCTGATCTACTGCTTTCCGCATTGCTTGACTCAAAAGTACGCTCGCTGTGGGGAATAACGAAGTCATTCCTCGCTTTGGCAGCCCAGTTGTCGACAGAGGGCTCTCCAGTTCCAGTGTGACTCTGCGGGCAAGGGTTCCTTTCATCACAGTGGGACCCTCGGGCCACCATCTGGATCACGGAGCATTCTGAACGGGGTGGAGAGGGGGGCAAGGGGGGGAAAGTGGAAGGTAAATCGACAAACCCTAGATGTTCGGTGTCCCCTGCCCGCTCCTCTTGTTCTCATGCCTCTGCCGTTCTGCACATCACAGCGTGTGCGGCTTGTGCTGGGTCTGCCGTGTCTCACCCTGAAGCCTGTCCTGGACATTGGGTCAGGGGGCGGGAAGACAGGCGAGAAGGGGAAACTGCGTCGAGGTGCTGGTAAGGAGGAAGCCGCGAAAGCCGTCCAGTCTAGTCTACCGATGGCACGTACAGACAAAGGGGTCCCTGGCGTGGGGAGTCTCATCTGGCCGTCGCTCCAGACGTGCTGTCCTGTTGATCTGGCTGAAAACAGAATCGGACGTCATGCACACTTGTTCGCTCTAGATCGATAAGCGCAAAGAAGGTGAGAGCGTTCCTCGTCGCATCGTTGGAGGCACGCGGCAAATGGGCCCGCTTGGCTGAGACATTCGTGAGCAGCGACGAACGATGAACGATGATTAGAACGCGTGAGTGGCACGGAATCTGGTGCCCGCCCGTCTGAACGTCTGGAAGTCGGAACGTGGTGGTTTCTCTCACCATCCCCACCACACAACACGCTTGTGTTGGATGTTTCGGCTGGTTGGCTGACGGCGCAACGCCAGAGCACCCTACTACTGCATCGAAGGCCTAAAAGGCA